CAAAAATGAACTATTGGGACTTCATCAAGATAAAATGCTTTTGCACAGCAAAGGAAACAGTCAACAAAACCAAAAGACAACCAACAAAATGGGAGAATATATTTGCAAATGACATATCAGATAAAGGGCTAGTATCCAAAATCTATAAAGAACTTATGAAACTCAACAGCCAAAGAGCAAATAATCCAATCAAGAAATGGGCAGAAGACACAAACAGACATTTCTGCAAAGAAGACATCCAAATGGCCAACAGACACATGAAAAAATGTTCCACATCACTCAGCATCAGGGAAATCCAAATCAAAACCTCAATGAGATACCACCCCACACCAGTCAGAATGGCTAAACCTAACAAGTCGGGAAACGACAGATGTTGGCGAGGATGCAAAGAAAGATGAACCCTCCTACACTGTTGGTGGGAATGCAAGCTGGTGCAGCCACTCTGGAAAACAGTATGGAGGTTCCTTAAAAAGTTGAAAATAGAGCTACCCTATGACCCAGCAATTACACTATTGCGTATTTACCACAAAGATACAAAAGTAGGGATCTGAAGGAGTACGTGCACCCCAATGTTTATAGCAGCAATGTCCACAATAGCCAAACTATGGAAAGAGCCAAGATGTCCATTAACAGATGAATGGATAAAGAAGATGTGGTATATATATACAATGGAATGTTATGCAGCCATCAAAAAAATGAAAGCTTGCCATTTGCAAGACGTGGACGGAACTAGAGGGTATTATGCTAAGTGAAATAAGTCAATCAGAGAAAGATAAGTATCATATGATCTCACTGATAGGAAGAATTTGAGAAATAAGACAGAGGATCATAGGGGAAGGGGGGGAAAAATGATACAAGACGAAACCAGAGAGGGAGACAAACCATAAGAGACTCTTAATCTCAGGAAACAAACTGAGGGTTGTTGGAGTGGAGGGGGGTGGGAGGGATGGGGTGGCTGTGTGATGGACATTGGGGAGCGCTGTGATTTGTGTAAGACTGATGAATCACAGACCTGTACCCTGAAACAAATAATACAGTATAGGTTAATAAAAAAAATAAAATACTGTGTTATATATCTGTATGTTGCTAAGAGAGAACGTAAATGTTCTCACCACACACACACACACATACTCGGTAATTATGTGAAGCGATGGATATGTTAATTAACCTAATTGTGGTCGTCATTTTGCAATATATACATGTATGAAAAAAATCATGCTGGGGGTGCCTGGCTGGCTCAATTGGTGGAACACGCAACATCTTGATTTTGGGGTTATGAGTTTGAAACCCACACTGGTTGTAGAGATTACTTAAAAAAATAAAATCTTTTAAAAAAATAATAAAAAATCGTGCTGTACACCTTATACATAATGTTAAATGTCAATTATATCTCCATAAATCTGGGAGAAAAGCCTAGCAAAGGTTATAAACTATATGATGTGTCCTACATGACATTCTGTGAAAGGCAAAATGATAAGGATGGAAAATAGATCAATGGCTGCTAAGGGCTAGGGATTGGAGAGTTTGACCACAGAGGGGCAGTGTGAAGGGGTCTTTTTTGGGTGATGGAATTATTCTGTATCTTAACTCTGGTGGTGGTTACATGAATCTATATATTTCAATCTATATATTTCTACCCTTAGAACTGTATAAGAAAAAAGTCCCTTTTATACATGTAAATTTTAAAATTAATTTTTAAAAGTGTTCTTTAAAAAAAGTTTTGGCTTTTTTATATGTATAAAAAAGTTTCTTAAACCTTCTGGCATCACAATCCCAAATTTGGAATCTAAGCAGATCTATGAACCTTCACCCCAGAAAAAAAAAGTCAAATAAACACAAAATTTGAGTTTTGAATCCAGTGTAGGGGGAAGAGACAAGGATGAACACAGATTTCTGTGCTTGGCTGGATGCAGGATGGACTCTCCAATTCATAGAGATAATGTGGAAGAAATGGCAGAAAAAGAATACTTAATACAGAATAATATGCAGAATATACAGAAGAAATAGAAGATTGTCAGAGTGGAAGATTGATTTTGGAAATGTTCAGTTTGGGATACCTGTGGTACATTGAGTATTCAGCAAGTAATTGGGCATACCAGTACAGTTTGTCTGGGATCAGACAAATACTAAAGTTATTTTTTATTAAAGTGGAATAAACTGGGAGTGTCTGGGTGGCTCAGTTGGTTGAGCATCTGACTCTTGATCTCAGCTCAGGTCTTGATCTCAGGGTCATGAGTTCAAGTCCCACATTGGGCTCCATGCTGGGTGTGGAGCCTACTTTAAAAAAAAAAAAGTGAACTAAACTAAGGGCTTCTCCTCTTACTATTTTGATTTAATGTCATTTTGGAATTGTTGGCCAGTGAATTAAGCCAAGTAAAGAAATAACGTATAACTATAGGAAAAGTTAGTTCAAAATTATCTTTGTTTTTGCATTAACAAGATTATTAAGTAAAATGTCTGGAAATGGTATAATGTATATTTTTAAACTAAGAGCTTTCCCACATGCCAGCAATTCACAATCAGAAATTATTATCATACAAAGATCTCAGTCTAGTAATCAAATAAAAAATTTTTAATCCTAGTGTAGTTAACACAGTGTTATATTTGTTTCAGGTGTACAATATAGTGATTCAACAATTCTCTATTAGGTGCTCATTATGATAAATGTACTCTTTTTTTTTTAAGATTATATTTATTTATTTGATAGACAGAGACACAGCGAGAGAGGGAACACAAGCAGGGGGAGTGGGAGAGGGAGAAGCAGGCTTCCCGCTGAGCAGGGAGCCCGATGCGGGGCTCGATCCCAGGACCCCGGGACCACAACCCGAGCTGAAGGCAGCCGCCCAACCAACTGAGCCACCCAGGCGCCCCATGATAAATGTACTCTTAATCCCCATCACCTATTTCACCCATTTCCTCCCTACCTCCCCTCTGGTAACCACCAGTTTGTTCTCTATAGTTGAGAGTCTGTTTTTTGGTTTGTCTCTTTTTTCCATCGTTTTATTTCTTAAGTTCCACATAGGAGTGACATAGGTATTTGTCTTTTTCTGACTGACTTATCTTTCTAGGAATAAAATTTAACATATATAGTAACAATACAGATAAAACTTTGAAACAATTGAGAGATGTATCATATTTTGCTGATTATAAATGTACTTTAACATCTCTGAAATCAAGATACATCTTCTAATTTAATTGGTAATATTTTCTCTTTTAGTGGTAAATAAAATAATAGTGCAATATTGTTTTCTTAAGTTTGATGAAATATAGTAAAAGAAGACTTTAATAAATAGCCAAACATCCCATGTTCAACTATAAGAAAATTCACTGTTGTAAAGTGACAGTTCTTCCCCCAAATCATTTATCAATTTCATGTAGTTATCATCAAAATAATTTCAACTTCTCCTTCTCTTTTTGGTGGAACAAAATGATTCTAAGCTTCTTCTAGAAGAGAAATGCCATGGTAATACCATTTGGGGAAAGTATATTCTTGTATATGTTTTGAATTACAATTTGGCAATGCTCACCTAATTTACAAGCGATTGTTACTGCTTGGAATTTATCTTTAAGGAATACCTCAAGGCATTTTTAGAAAAATGTATATTGTAGCATTGTTTAAAATAGAAAAAATTAGATATATAAAATTCCATAAAAGAAAGGACTGGTTAAAGAAGTTGTAGCAGGGGTGTTTGCAAAGTTCTTTTTTTTTTTTTTTACCCAGGTGGTGGTTACACAGGATTCACTGCATAATAACTATTTTTTAAAAGTGTTATTTATTTAAGTAATCTCTACATCCACTGTGAGGCTCAAACTCACAACCCTGAGATCAAGAGTCACACGCTCCCCCAACTGAGCCAACCAGGCGCTCCTCACTGCCTAGTTATTTATTAAGTTATATCTTTGTTCTATGTACTTTCTGTATATATATTTCACAATAAAAGTAGCTAAAATTAATAACATCCATGTTTAGGAATACTATGAAACACTATACAATCAATAAAAGAATTGGGTAAATCTATGAGTAAGGTACTTACGTATCACTCAGATTCAGCCTTGTGCTTGCATATATTTGTAGTACATTCATTTTCACCACTGAATAATATTCCACTATGTGAATAAACTACAATATATTTATCCATTGTTGTGACAATAGATAATTTGGTTGTTTCCTGTTTGGGGCTATTACAAATAGTAATCTATGACAAGTCACAGGGATCTCTCCAGTTACATACATCTGATGCACACGTACACATTTTGCGCTAGAAACTAGAAAGAATTACTACCTGGTAGAGTATGCAAATGACCAACTATACAAGGTAATGCCAAATTTGTTTTCCAAAGGGATTTAGCCCACTGAATTCATAGCAGCAATGTACACCAGATTCTGATACTACAACCTCTCCAACATCTGGTATTTCAATTAAATGGTGTAAGATGGTATCTACTTGTGGTTTTGATGTGCATTTTGCTCATTGCTGATGGGTTGAACATCTCTTCATAAGTTCATTGGACATATGCATTTCCTTTTCTGAGAAATATATCTTTATCACTATTGTTCATTTGTCTACTGGGTGGTTTGTCCTTTTAAAAAATTGTGTAAGTTCATTATATATTCTTGATACCAATCTTTTGTCAGCTACATGGATTTGCAATCTTCTTCTAGTTGAATCTTTTCACTCTCTTTAAGGTATCTTTTGAGGAACAGAAGTTCTTAACTTTAATGTAGTGAAACTTATCAGTCTTTTCATTTAAGGTTAATACTTTTACGTCTAATTTAGGAAATCCTTTCCTATCTCAATGACACAAAATTATTCATGGACATCTCTTTCTCTCTTTCTAAAAGTTCAAAAGGCTTGTTCCTGACATTTAAGTCCTTAAACCTTCTGGAAATGATTTATATAAATAGCATATATATGTAATATAAATAGAAGTCTAGTTTTATTCTTTTTTGCATATGAATGAACAACCAACACATTCCAAAGCAACCAGAGATGAATTACCTGGAAAGTAACGTTTTTGCTGTTCTTTCAGACATTCCAAATTCTTATGAGTGCACACAGTCCTGCTACGTGGTGTGGTAGATGACAAACTCAGTGCAAGGACCATCTCAGAAAATCTGGAAAGATCTTAGGAAACAAGAAGCAAGAGTTCAATATGCAAAAAGGCAGACGCCAACTTATAGCTGAGCTGTGTTGCAAAGCCTTTCACTTCATCTTGGAATTCAAAGCTTTGGCCCACAGATCCTTGTGTCTACATCCTAAGTCAGCTTAGGAAAGCCTACTTATATCTTGGGGGAGTAGGAGGACATACCAGTATGGTGCAATAGTTTTCATTTTTCATTTTAATTGTATTCTATTGAAACAAACTTTATATTTTTAGAATGTTTATGTTTTTAAATGTAGGATTAGAAGTATAAAGGTCAATAGATACAGATTTCTGAGAAGACTCTGAAATGGACTTTGTTTTTCTGGACTTCTGAAGAAGTTACCACTAATTTATTTTGTCTAATTTCATCTTGAGCTTTCCTTTTCCAAGGGGGATGCACATCATCAACACTTGCTCTGGTTTATCAGTCACGGTTAGGGTTGGCTCTGAAAAGGAAAAGTCAGAAAGGAGGGGCCCAGCCATGGATAGGTTGTATTTGAGTTCAGAATGGAAGTGGGGCAATGAGAAAGAGAGAATGTTTAATCCAGGGAACAAGAATGGAAAGGCAGGGGAAAGTGGCAGTAAGTTAAAGAGGACACACATGTACACGTGGAAAGGAATTTCCTAAATAATTAAATGAATTCATATTCAGAAAGGAAAAGAAGAGACCTGAATAAGAACACAAGAAAGGGTATGAAAATAAAAATTACTAGGTCAGACAGCCCCCTGCACCAACCTCTAGTAGGTCTCCTAGCCCAAGGCAACATCTTTTTGTTGAATGCTGGGTATTCAGAATGGGCAGAGGGAATGAAGGGCAATTCTGTAGCAATTGGAAATAATAAATCAAGCATCTGCAATTTAGAGAGTACCTCTCTTTCCCTAGATTCTAAAATAATATCCCCTTCCTCCCTCCCCCACCTCTCCCCCTTGCCCCCAGCAAACATTGCAATCGTTGTGGATTCTTCTCCCTGACCTGGATCAGCCTCCATCATCCAAGCTATCCATTCCTTTGTAACCAGCTGTTTCACACGATTGTCCTTCACCTGCCAGGAACTTGGCACTTTGGCAAACACTGCACAGCAAAATCGTTCCACCTTGACTGCACAGACATATCCATGGAGGGCCCCCTTATTGTGCACTTCAAGGAATTTGACAGCATATTTTATCTCATGCCTCTGTGTACAGAAATGATGGACAGGTAGTTTCCTAATACAGTAATCAATAGAGCGACACAAGGTGACAAGATCTATTTTCTCCTTTTCACATCCAACGACTTGATTGGTCTCATCATGCACACCAAAAAATATATACCCTCCTTCGGTGTTTGCAAATGCAGACACACAACTGGGGAGACTCTCATTAAAGCACTGGGACACCTCTGCTGAGAACATTTTAAATTCAACGTGGAGGGACTTAGTAAAGTTGAGCTTTTCTAAGAACTGAAGGTGAGTTCTAGCAAATAAAGCAGCAGCTGAGGCCCTTATGTTACCATCATTTTGTACACCAACCCGAACTTTCTGGGGACTTAATGAATTGGAATCATTAGTATTCACAGGAGTCTGAGATCTCCCTTTGAGGAACGTCAGTGCTTCCTGAGAATTCATGACATCAGTCGATGCTCTGTATCTGTGGTACAAATTGGAGGACAAGGTTGCCAGCCGTACACCAGAGGCCTCGGCGTTCCATGACTTCACAAAAATAAAAAAGAGGTCTCCCTGCTGCATCTCATCTAAATAGCCTTTAAAAATTGAAGGCATTTTCAGTCCTACTCCATGGATTTCGTAATTGTAGTCTTTGTTCTCAATCTCAGCCTTGACCACTCCGCCACCAGAATTCAGTAGAGCACATATTGCATTCATGATGATTTTATTCTGTTTCTTCTGCAATTGAGGCTTCATTTCGTTCCTTTGCTTATTCCCAAGGATGACTTTTCCTACATTTAAGACACATTCGGCAAAGTGTGTTTCCACCTTGACACTCATCTTCTCAGCACTTGTCCTATTCCTACTGTGAAAGGTTCTCCTAAAAAAACAGGAAGATAGAACCATTAGAATAGGACAAGAATAGGGGAAATGAGAAAACCGATAGTTCGAGGCCACTTTTCTGAAGTTGGTCACTTCCTTTCTGCCCACAGAGTTCGAAGCCAGGCTCCTGCATGAAATAAGTGTGGAGGACAGGTGGAGGAGCTAAGTCTGCTGGAAGCCCACTACCACCAGAGAAATGATCAAGAGGCTATTTTTATGCTGTGGTTTTAGTAACTGTTTGTACCAAGATCTCTGAGGGCAGTGTCTCCCGGTTCACCTGCAGAAAACAAGAAATTGTAGACACATGAAGACTAAAGCTGGAATGTAAATGGAAGGCTTTCACTGTCAGAGGTGTCTCTGGAGTGTGCTGATGTCTCTTGCTTTTCTTGGTGCTCCTTCTCCTCCCATTGAGATCTGGGCAATTCTTAGTTTATTTTGTAGCCCAATTTGAAGAAGGAGCAAATCTGATTGAGTTGCTAATTTGTCATTGTTGCTATGGAACAGACTCTTTAGCTTTCCCTGGTCCAAGCAGTTCTCATCTCATGAAAAAATATATGTAAATTAAATATAAGTATATATATAATTTGTTTGAAACTAACGGACAAATTATTGACTGTTTGGATCAACCAAGCTGGCGGGTAAAGGTGGGCTTTTGACATTTCCTAAACTGAGTGACAGGGTGCAGACACACCATCTTTGCAACCACACCTCAGGACAGAAGGGCAAGTGTGAGTGACGCACATCCCCACAGCTGTCAATCTTCGATTCATCTGTGGCAACCGAGGAAAGAGAAGGAGCCACTAGACCAACGCACGCATCATTACACAGTCCTCTGTCAAGGGTACTTTGCTGTGAACCAAGCTGTCATGCTATCTGACACTCCCCTCAGCTTCCTTCCTCAAAAGCTCGATGCAGGGAACAAAAGATGCAACCCAAGATAGAAGCAAACACAATCCCCTGGACAAGTGTGAAGGGAGACCCCAGAGTGGCAGCTGTGGGGCAGGCCTAGAGGATTACCAGCCAGAATGGGAGCAAGATGGCAGCAGGCTTCAGTGGGTGGCACGTGAGACTATACAACTGACGGACTGCTTAATGAGTTAGTCAGCTGAAGAGGTAGAGAGTTTGGGGTGGATGAGTAATAGGGACTTAGGCAAATATGTAAACACAAAGATAAGACAATAACTCTAAGTTTAAAATGAAAAATAGTATAAAAGAGAAAACATAGCCATAAGCCATGATATGGCATAGCTGTAAACAAAATGAGTCATAATGTTATCAACTCTGAATATTGTTCTGATCGGAAATGATGATATCATCATACTGGCAGGATGTGGGGAGAGAAAGGGTAATGAAGTGTGAAAGGGTAGTGAAGTGTGAGGGAGCGAGATCATCAGCTCTGGAAAAAGACAGTATCTAAAAGGGGGCAGGGGAGATGTGTGAGCATGAGCATGTTGTTTAGAAATATATTTAAAATTGCTGAAAGAAAAAGCCAAAGAGGCAAGAGGTTGCCTAGAGAGCAGAAGAAGGAGGCAGAGTAAAGGGCCACTGATTTTCTCACTATGTCTTATGAAACTTTCAAAACTACATATATGAGACTTCCTCCCAGACAGAACAGAATACCAGGGACCAGATTACTTTCCTGTCTAAAACAACAAAAATATTTTTAAAGAAATAATGGCTGCAAAATTTCCAAATTTGATGTAACTTGTAAAAAATTAAGATCAAGATCCAAGATATTCAACAAGCTCCAAGTACTAGAAACATGAAAACTACACCAAAGTGCATCAAAATTTAGTTGATTAAAGCCAAAGATAAAGAGAAAATCTTCAAAGCAACCAGAGGAAAAAGATACATCACACAAAGAAGAACAGAGGATGACGTTACAATTTGTTGTCAGAAACAAAGCAAAAAGATCAACATCTTTAAACCAATGAAAGAAAAAAAGAGAATTATGAACCTAGAGCTCTATACCCAGGGAGAATACCTTTCAAAAATTCAGTTAATAACAAAAAGACCATCAATTGTTTAAATGGACAAAGGACTTGAACAGATGTTTTTCCAAAGAAGAGGAACAAAGACCATTAAGCATATGAAAAGGTGCTCAATATTATTAGTCATTAGGGAAATGCAAACCACAACCACAATGAGATACCACCTCACACCTATTAGAATGGTGATGGTGATGATGATGATGGTGGTGGTGATAAAAGGAAAATAAGTGTCAGTGAGGATTTAGAGAAATTGGGATCAGCATACACTGCTGGTGAGAATGCAAAATGACGCAACCATTGTGGAAAGTAGTTTGGAGATTCTTCAAAAAGTTAAACATAGAATTACCATATGACCCAGCAATTCTACTCTAAAATACATACCAAACAGAATTGAAAACAGATACTCAAATCTGTCAGATTCAAATAGGTCATGAATGTTCATAGGAGAACTATTCACAATAGCCAACAGGTGGAAAGAACTCAAATGTCTATCAGCAGATGAACAGATAAACAAAATATTCTACAATCCATTCAATAGAATATTTTTCTGCCCTAAAAAGGAATGAGGCTGAGTGAAATAAGTCAATCAGAGAAAGACATGTATCATATGATCTCAGTGATATGAGGAATTCTTAATCTCAGGAAACAAACTGAGGGTTGCTGGAGTGGTGGGGGTTGGGAGGGATGGGGTGGCTGGGTGATGGACATTGGGGAGGGTATGTGCTATGGTGAGCGCTGTGAATTGTGCAAGACTGCTGAATCACAGACAGACCTGTACCTCTGAAACAAATAATACACGTTAAAAAAAAAAAGAAGAATATAGCAGGAGGGGAAGAATGAAGGGGGGAAATCGGAGGGGGAGACAAACCATGAGAGACTATGGACTCTGAATAACAAACTGAGGATTCTAGAGGGGAGGGGGGTGGGGAGATGGGTTAGCCTGGTGATGGGTATTAAAGAGGGCACGTTCTGCATGGAGCACTGGGTGTTATACGGAAACAATGAATCATGGAACACTACATTAAAAACTAATAATGTAATGTATGGTGATTAACAACATAAAAAAAAAGGAATGAGGTACTGATACATGCTTCAACACGGATGAACCTTGAAAACATTATGCTAAGTGAAAAAAAGCCAGACACAAAAGATCACTGTTATTTACCATATATTTATGTCCCCCTAGAATTCATATGTTGAAACCCTAACCCTGGGGCGCCTGGGTGGCTCAGTTGTTAAGCGTCTGCCTTCGGCTCAGGTCATGATCCCAGGGTCCTGGGATCAAGCCCCATAACGGGCTCCCTGCTCTGGGGGAAGCCTGCTTCTCCCTCCCCCACTCCCCCTGCTTCTGTTCCCTCTCTCGCTGTCTCTCTCTGTCAAATAAATAAATAAAATCTTTAAAAAAAAAAGAAGAAAAAAACCCTAACCCCTATTGGGATGGATTAGCAGGTGGGTAACTAGAGGTAATTAGAGTGGCGCCCTCATGATGAGATTAGTGTCATTGTAAGAATAGAGAGAAGAGAGCTTGCTTCCTCTCTCTCTGCTCTTTCCACCATGGCAGCTGTCTGCAAACCAGGAAGTTTCCTCACCAGATACCACATCTGCCAGCACCTTGATCTTGGACTTCCTAGCCTCCAGAACTGTGATAAATAAACGTTTGTTGTGTAAACCTCCCAGTCTATGGTATTTTTGTCATAGCAGCCTGAACTAAGACAGCTACATATCATAAAATTTCATTTATGAGAAAAATCCAGAATGGATAAAATCATTGAAACAAAGAAGATGGTTGATTGCCAAAGGCTAGGAGAACAGGGGAATGGTAAGTAGCTGCTCAGTTGGGTTTTATCCGGGTGTGATGAAAATGTTTTGAAGCTTGACGGAGGTGGTGGTTGTACAATATTGTGAATGTACTAAATGCTGCTAATTTGTTCACTTTAAAATGATTAATTTTTGTTATGTGAGTTTCATCTCAATTTTAAAAATTAATCAAAAAAGGTAAAATAAAAACTTTCTCAGACATATAAAAGCTGAAAGAATTTATTAAGAATGCAGTGTAAGGGGTGCCTGGGTGACTCAGTCATTAAGCGTCTGCCTTCGGCTTGGGTCATGATCCCAGGGTCCTGGGCTCCCTGCATCACGGGAAGCCTGCGTCTCCCTCTCCCACTCCCCCTGCTTGTATTCCCTCTCTCGCTGTCTCTCTCTCTGTCAAAAAAATAAATAAAATCTTAAAAAAAAAAAAAAAAGAATGCAATGTAAGAAGTGGTGAAGAAAGTCTTCAGTCAAGAGGAAAATGATACTAGTTGGAAAATGAATATACACAAAGCAAGGAAGACCACTGGAAATGGTAACTACAAGGGTAAATATATAAGATATTTTAAAGATTTAACCCTCTCAAAGAAGAATAAAACCGGAATACTAACATCAACTGATTTCAATTAACTTATTATACAGTTACAGTAACCAAGATAGTATAGAACCAGTATAAAGACAAATAAATAGATTCATGGAATAAAGAGTCTGGAAATAGACCCACATACATACGGATAGGAAGTGGTTTTTTGTTTTGTTTTTTTTAAAAGATTTTATTTATTTATTTGAGAGAGAGACTGAGAGAGAGAGAGCATGAGATCGGGGAGGGTCGGGAGGGTCAGAGGGAGAAGCAGACTCCCTGCCAAGCAGGGAGCCCAATGCGGGACTCGATCCAGGGACTCCAGGATCATGACCTGAGCCGAAGGCAGTCGCTTAACCAACTGAGCCACCCAGGCGCCCAGGAAGTGTTAATTTTTTTCAACAAATAGGATTGACACAATTGGATATCCACATATGAAAGAAATGAATTCATATTTGACACCATTTACAAAAATGTATTTAAAATGTGTCATAGACCTAAATGTAAAACCTAAGACTATGTGGAACTAAGTGAATACTGCCCAAATGACAATAATGAGAGGCTATTTATGGAGAGCTCACTGTAACAAGGGAGTCAGCCACCATCACTTGTGATGGCAGAGACTCAAAAGCAGGCAGAGGAATGGGAAAGCTTTATAGTGAGAGAGAGAGAGAGAGAGAGACAGAGAGAGAGGAGGCTCAGGGATGCTCTGATTTGAGATTGGTCTTCTAGGGAAACTGGAAGTGAGCTTACTACAAGTGGTACATCTTCTGTGACGGTTTGGGAGCCTGTTTAGCTTTCTCTGTTTCGTTCTGAGTTGGAAGCGGAGACAAATATCAGAAAAGCTGGAAGTTATTAACTAAGTCCTAGGGCGCCTGGGTGGTGCAGTCAGTTAAGCTACCCACTCTTGGTTTCAGCTCAGGTCATGATAGGGTCCTGAGATGGAGCCCCTCGTCAGCTCTGTGCTCAGTGTGGGGTCTGCTTGAGTTTCTCTCTCCCGCGGCCCCACCTCCAACCTTGTGCGTGCTCTCTCTCTCAAATAAATAAATAAATCTTAAAATTAAAAAGAAAAAAATCAAGTCCTGACCACTTTTGCTGCAAGGGTTGTGGTTTGGCTTCCAGGGGTGGTTGCTGCCACGTTGTGGGTCAAGAGTTCTGTGTTTAGGGGCTCCTGGGTGGTTCAGTTAAGTGACCAACTCTTGATTTCAGCTCAGGTCACTATCTCAGGGTCGTGAGATCCAGCCCCTTGTGGGGCTCTGTGCTGGGGGCGGAGCCTGCTTAAGATTCTCTCTCTCCTTCTCCCTCCCCACCCCTTCACATGCCCCCTCTCTCCTTAAAAAAAAAAAAAAGAGTTCTGTGCTTACATATGGTCTGGCCAGTGTCCATTTATATATTCAGCCTCTCAACCTCAAAACTTCTAGAGGCAAACATAGAAAATATTTTTATCTTGGGTTTGGCAAACATTTTTTTAGAGATGTTACTAAATGTACACTACATAAAAGAAAAAAAATAATATACATTGGATTTTAAGAACATCTTTTTGAAAGACACCTGTTAAAAGAATTCATTCTTTTGTATTTTCAAATACAAGTCCTTGACCAGAAGAAAATATTTGCAAATGATAGATCTGATAAATAATTTGTATCTAGATTAGATATAGGACTCTTGGAAGGGGAGAATAAGAAAACAGAAAACCCAATTTAAAAATGGATAAAAGATTTGAACAGATATTTCACCAAAGAAGATATATGGAGAGCAAGTAAGTACATGAAATATTATTCAACATCCTAAGTCATTAGGGAAATGCCAATTAAAACGACAATGAGATAGCACTACACACTTATTTTAATGGCTAATGTGGCTAACTATACCAGCTACTGGTGAGGATACGGAGAAAAGGGAACTCTCAGGTTCCTGGCAGAAACAGAAATACAACCATTTTAGAAAAGAGTTTGGTAGTTTCAAACACTTACCATATGACTCAGCCATTTCACACCTAAGTATTTCCCCATGAAAAATGAAAACCTAAGTCCCTACAAAGACCTGTACCTGAATGTGATTAGAAAGAACCCAAATGCCCACTAACAGAAACAAATTTGGGTTGTCCATATGATGGGAGCCTACTCAGCAAGGAAAAGGAGAGAACTATGGGTACCCACAACATGAATGAATCTCAAAATAATTATTCTGAGTGGAAAAAGCCAGACAAAAAGACAGTACATATCATAGCTACTTGTATAAGGGGAGCGCATCCATTTGTATAAATTTCTAGAAAATGCCAATTAATCTATAGTGACAGAAAACCAATCAACCGTGGCTCAGGGTGGTGGGAAGGACAGGAGAGTGGGAGGTAGCGGTTATAAAAGGGCACTTGGGGGCTGATAAGCTACGTTCACTACCTCGACTGCAGCGCGGGCTTCAGCTTGTACACTTTAAATATGTGCAGTTTAGGGTCGCCTGGCTGGCTCAGTTGGTAGAGCATGTGACTCTTGTCCTTGGGGTCTGAGTTCAAGCCTGATGTTGGGCATAGAGCTTACTTAAAGAAATATATGTGCAGTTTATTTTGTGTCATTAATAACCCAATAGAGCTATTAAAAATTACATGAATGATGGTGAAAAGATAAGTACAACGTATTTTTATAATATATATAATTAGCTCAAAACCAGTGGGAGATCGATGTGCCTTCTATTACTGAAATTTTTCCATAGATACTATATCTTTGATAGAATTATGTATCGGTGTCCCAAACTGTGCTATACTCCAGATGGACACCTTGGTATGTTCCATGCTCAGTTGCTAGTAACAACCATCCCACCCTGTCTTTTCCCTTGCAAATTGTGGATTTGTACTTACCAGGCCTGCCAAGTCCCCTCTCAGTGGCAATCAGCAGGCCCTCCTAAGTGCCAGTGAAAATGACCTCAGCAAAACGAGAGAAAACGCTCTCCCTTCCAATACAGGTGCATAAAAGCAGGAAGTATTGCATTTCATAAAGTTGCCCTTGTAGATTTTTTTTTTCCTAGCAGGGGAATCCTCTAACGTACCTGGTCGTCAGAGACTGTTGCTCTGGCCCATGGTCATGTCCATTAGCCTGAAGAGATACTATAACTATGAATGGTTGTATACTTAATGTCTTGTCGCTATGATAATAATACTGAAATTGATTTCTGTTTTCTGATAGGCATAAACACCTGTGCATTCTCATCATCAGGCCAGGAACCGACCATCATATTTCACTCTTCTTTGATTTGCAAGTAGGTACTAAAACTTGTGATTGTTAATTTTCTTATTTAAACAAAAGAGTTGAAAAGTTTTGTGACATTTTAAGGAACACTTCGGACGCGGGACGCTCAGGCTTAGCTGCTCATGTGGCCACAGGAACTTTCGCTTCTGCCCTGCGCAGACTGAAGAGGAATCGGTTTCTCTTTCCTTGTAAGGCAGGCATAGCCTCGCCAACATTAGCCAGAGCCCCCACCTCCTTGTAGAAGCTTCGCTCTGAGATCCGCCATCAGTGAAGCGCCACCGTGTCCGGCATCCCCTCCCTCCAGCACTCGTCCTCAAGGATTCCCTTCTGGGTCCTACCACAGTCGTGTGCAAAAGGGGAAATGGAGTCACTCACAGCAGCCTAGCCTCAGTGGACAGAACCCACGGGGGTTCTATTGGCCACTTAATGGGGGATACAGGGCTTCCCGGACCGTTCCGCGCCTTCCCACCCTGCCCGATGCTGTTGTTTGAAGACTGACGTTGCAAGCCAGGGGCTTACAGGCATCCTCGGAACACAGTCGCTCGTAATAAAATGGACACTGACCCTATTCATCCGCAGACCACAACCTCACTGGCTTCACCTTCAGGAGCCTCGGAAACTGATTGGTTCTTTCCTCGAAAGTTCTTCGCCCTCTTGAACAGTGGGGAAATATTACCGAGCTCTGTTTGGAAAGATCTAGGCTGAGGTCGCGCGCCCCACCCTCCTCCCCTGCGCACCCGGCCTTAGCAGCCTCCCAGCTTGCGGATCCCCCACTGCTCGCCTGTCGTTGGAAGTTGCTACCGAGAGCAGACCAAACGACCCGAGCGGGGAGGAGCTCCGGGAGCTCAGGGGAGCTCAGGGAACCGGCGCAGACCTAAGGAGGGAAAGAAGCCGAGCTTTTGGAGGATCTGTGCAAACGAGCGCGGGGGGACTCCTTACCCGCCGAGGTTTCTACTGTGCAGAGCTCCTCACTCCGGAAGTGGGCGACGCAGCCTCCCAAGCCCACAGCCGAGACCTTGACTGCGCGGTGCCCCGGGTCTTATATCCGCTGAACTGAGCGATACCTCACAGGGCGGGGTACCGCGCGCCGGCGGGAAACAGTGGGACAACCCACCAGTATGGTTTCTGTAGACCCGGAAACCCAGTTCTGCAAGGACAACAGCCTTGGTTACTTTTGGCGGACACAGGTGGGGGTTTTTTGGGGGGAGGGGGGATCTTTTTTTTTTAAGATTTTATTTATTTATTTGAGAGAGAGAGACAGAGATAGCGAGAGAGAGAGCATGAACTGGAAGGAGAGGGAGAAGCAGGCTCCCCACCCCCACCCCCGAGCAGGGAGCCCAACGCGGGGCTCGATACCAGGACCCTGGGATGATAACCGGCCGAAGGCAGCCGCTTAACGGACTCAGCACCCCAGCGCCCCAAAGGGGGTCGTATTTATCGCTTCTCTGTTTTCTGATTAATTTTTTGAAGCTTACAGTTCTCACCCCCCCCCCACACACACACACACTCAGGGAGGGAGATCCGGGCGCAACCCCACGTCCTTCAGTCCTCCCCAGCCGGACTCCAGCCCTTCCCCGGCGGCCCAGGCTCCCGAGGCGCGCTCCGCAGGCGTCTCCTCCCGACGCCTCCAGCCCCTGAACTCCCGCTCGACTTGGGGCATTCGCCGCCGGGGCTCTGCTTCCGGGACGTGAGGAGTTGGGGGCGTTGGGTCCAGCGGGAGGCAGAAAATTAAGCCTCCGCTTTCTCGCGTCCCCCTCCCCCACCCCAATTCGAGAAGTTTGATTCTGCCTCCTTTTGCGGGTGCTTTAATTTGTAAAGGGGTGATGACCGGACCCCGAGAACGGCCGCGGGTGTTCGCGCTTGGGGGAGCCCCAGCAGCCTCCGACGATGGTATTCTGGTGAAAGAAATAAGAAAGTGTCCTTTCGATTCGTCTGTCTCTGCGGACAAGACCCAGGTCTTGTGCAACACCGTCAGTTTTCAGCTCATTCGTCCTAATTTTATTCCCAAACATGTTCTGGGACCTCTCGAAAGGTCTGGCTTCGCGCGGGACTCTCTGGACCCCAGGGCGCGCATTGCGGTGCGGGGCACCCAAAGAAGCGCACAGGCGGCCCAGGGGGCCGAGGAGTCGGATGCGGGGGACTGATCTGAGCCCGCGCCCCCAGGGGCCGAAGTAGCACTTGGGCGCCCCTGGAGCATTCAGTCCCGTCCTGACTCCAGCTGCCCCTCTCCAGGAGGGACCTCCTTCTGTCTTCCTCCGCCCTCTTAAAATTCTGGCAAATAGATGTTTGTTTCTCCATCTCTTCACTTCCAACTCCCGAATCCAGCCTGAAGGACCGCATGAGCTCTCCCAGCAAACACTCTCCCACCTTCTCGCCAGGAGCTAGAGGTCTCTTGGGCTGCCTATGGTGCCTGGGTCAGGCGGGGACCTGGGCTACCACAGTCTGGCCCCGGGGGCGCTTGCTGTTTCACTCACTTCTCAAGACCCGGTTAGGGATCAGGCCCAACCAGACCCTTTGGGCATGGGGAGAGTCCGAAGCTTTGAGATAAGGGGCTGGAGGAAAGTCATTGTAGGACTACAGGTCTCTGGTGAGTCTACCTTGCTGCCCAAGAGCATTCAAATCTATGCCCAGGAAGGATTTGGTCACTCCCAGCAGGGTACTCTGTAGAGCCAGGACAAGCCAGGGAGACAAGGAGGCTGGCCAGTTACCAGGAAATCAAAGAGGAGGGACCGGTCTGGAGGACACAATCTGTGGTCATCTCTGGGGTCCTGCTTTTTTTTTTTTTTTTTTAAGATTTTATTTATTTGCGAGATAGAGATTGAGAGCAGGGGGAAGGGCAGAGGTAGAAGGAGAAGCAGACTCCCCGCTGAGCAGATCTGTGACTTGATCCCAGAAACCCCAGGATAGTGAACTGAGCGGAAGGTAGACACTTAACCGACTGAGCCACCCAGGCGCCCCTAATTTTTAAATGTATTGTCAAATAGCTGAGGTGTATGGAAAGTACAAAAATAATGATACATTGAACTCCCATGTATTCACCACCCAGCTAAATGATAAAAAAATTAGCAATACTTTTGTGTACCTCCCACTGGTCTCATTCCCTCATCCCATCTGTCCCCTACTCACCTGATAACCAATACAATTTTCTAAATTCTAAGTTACAATCCTTATAGAATTCTGTATACTTTTATGACATATATAGATGTCGCTCATACATGAGTTTCACACATTTCCATACACTTGAGCCATATGTAAACAGTATCCTATTGTATGTAGTTGGCAGAACTTGCTTCCAACTCCTTAATGTTTTGTTTTAAAGACTTACCTAGATTTTTTCTAAATTTTACCCATGTCTCTAGACCTTTCATTTCACTGCTGTATGAACTGGGTCTTTCCTTCTCACCTTTCTATCCATCCCCTTTGGTCCTCAAATTATCCAGGTCTCCTCAACTTTTTCTAGAAAAGACCTCAGCTTCCACCCACTTTGGGGTCATAATTACCATAGCATTACATCTTCATTTCTGGTCCCAGCCCTACTCTCCCATTCCCCCTTCCTGATCTTGAGATTCTGGAAGGCCTGGAAAAGGGGAGTAGTGCTTTGGTGAAATGTTGTCCCTCTACTAAGTTTTCGTCTTTATCTCTTTGTTTGTCTAGGGTAGGAGGTAAGTAAGGGCAGAAAGTGATTTATTCTTCGTATTTACTCAAGATTAAAAGTAAAACTCTTGGGTTTGCTCTGTCCAAAAGTAGGAAATGCCAAGAGCCACTACTGGTCACACACACACACACACACAAGGTTAATGCCATCTTTATATCTTTTTTCCTTCAACAAGCTAAGCAGGGAGCAAGCTAAAGAGAAGGGACATATCACCTTAGAAGAGATTAAAGAGACATATCACAAGGCACCTGGGTGGCTCAGTCGGTTAAGTGTTTGCCTTCAGCTCAGGTCATGATGCCAGGGTCCTGGGATCGAGCCCCGCATCGGGCTCCCTGCTCGGCGGGAAGCCTGCTTCTCCCTCTCCTTCTGCTGCTCCCCCTTCTTGTGCTCTCTCGTGCACTCTCCCTCTCTCTCTCAAATAAATAAAATCTTTTAAAAAGTAAATAAATAAATAAATAAAGGGACATAACACCTTTGAAGGTTCAGGCAGTGTCTCATGGAAAGAGAAATGCTGTATTAAAGAGAATCACTGCCATGTGTGGGTGACAACTGCCAGCACGTGAGGCTGAAGTCACAGTCAGGTTGGAGGCTGCATGCCATGGTCTGTAGGTCTCGGTCCATAGAAAACCCAATTCATCTCCCCATGAGAGACCCGGGGAGACTGAGCTGGGCTCCATGCTCAGTGACATTGTGGCTGGTCAGACTTTTCCTAGGCGACTGAGACCCATAGTTTTAGCATAGAGCCTTATCAGTGCTGCCACAGTCTTTCTTTCAAACCTGAGTAATTTGTTTATAATATTCACTTTTCAGGCAAAAACCCATTTCCATCTTCTTTTTTTACTTTTTGCAGTAACAACAGATTTTTAAAAAAACTTTTAAGATTTATTTATTTATTTTAGGGGGAGGGGCAGAAGGCGAGAATCTCTTTTTTTAAGATTTTATTTATTTATTTGAGAGAGAGAGAGAGAGAGAGAGAGAGCATGAGTGGGGGGAGGGGCAGAGGGAGAAACAGACTCCCAGCTGAGCAGGGAGCCCGATGCAGGGCTCCATCCCAGGACCCTGGGATCATGACCTGAGCTGAAGGCAGACGCTTAACTGACAGGCACCCAGGCGCAGAGAGAGAGAGAGAGAGTCAGTCTTAAACAGACTCTGAGCTGAGTGCCAAGCCCAATGCAGGGCTCTATCTCACAACCCTGAAATCATGACCTGAGGCAAAAATCAAGAGTCAGCTGTCAGCCGCTCAACTGACTGCACCACCCAGGCGCCCCTCAATAAAAACAGATTTAAAAAATAAATCTTGGGGCACCTGGGTGGCTCAGTCGTTAAGCATCTGCCTTCGGCTCAGGTCATGATCCCAGGGTCCTGGGATGGAGCCCCACATCGGGCTCCGTGCTCAGCGGGAAGCCTGCTTCTCCCTCTCAAACTCTCCCTGCTTGTGTTCCGTCTCTCGCTGTGTCTCTCTCTGTCCTATAAATAAATAAATAAAATCTTAAAAATAAATAAAAATAAATAAATCTTACATAAACATTCTTATGATTTTTAAAGAACAATGTTTGCCATTTGACAAAGAGGGGTGAAACCTCACCGCAACAAATTTATTCAGAGGAGGGATGAGGCGTCCTTTACAAGTGTTTATACAAATCACACACATGAGAGAAGATGGTGGGGAGAATCTCAGTTCTCTGGCCCTCAGCACCAACACTGAGATCCAAGAGCATCCTGAGGTTGTCACCTAGTGGGTGATTATGCTCTCCCTGAAGGAGCCCAGTTGGTTTGTGTCCAATGCTCTACTTGCTTTTTCAGGTATAGGAAAGTGGCTCAGAATATTCTCTCTGTACCCTCCCTCAGATCTTTAGATCACTGAGAATGAGTGTGGGAGGCAGAATAATGGCCTCCCAAAGATGCCAACACCCTAATCCCTAGAACCTGTGAGAGATGTTGTTACAAGGCATGGGGAATTAAGATTACAGAGATAATTAAGGTTGCTAATCAATTGACCTTAAAATAAAGAGATTATCCTGGATCATCTGAGTGGGCTCACTGTAATCACAAGGGGCCTTCGGTATGGAAGAAGGAAACAGAAGAGTCAGTGTCAGAGTGGTGTGCAAGGTGAGAGAGACTTGACCAGCCACTGCTGGTTTTGAAGATGGAAGGGTGGGGGCGCCTGGGTGGCTCAGTCATTGGGCATCTGCCTTTGGCTCGGGTCATGGTCCCAGGGTCCTGGGATCGAGCCCCACATTGGGCTCCCTGCTTGGCGGGAAGCCTGTTTCTCCCTTTCCCACTCCCCCTGCTTGTGTTCCTTCTCTCGCTGTCTCTGTCAAATAAATAAATAAATTCTTAAAAAAAAAGTTGAAGATGGAAGGGTGTCATGAGTCAGGGAATGCTGGCAGGCTCTGGGAGCTGGAAAAGCCAGAAAACAGATTCTGCCCTAGACCTCC